ACGTTAAAAACTCTGCAGCTTGAGGCCTCACAATCTGCAGGGGCCTAAAAGATTCCTTCTTTTCTGTTTCACGACTGCACATTTCTTTTAACGCCTAAAAGATTCCTTCTGTTCTGTTTCACGACTGCACATTTCTTTTAACGCCTAAAAGATTCCTTCTTTTCTGTTTCACGACTGCACATTTCTATTAACGCCTAAAAGATTCCTTCTTTTCTTTCTTAGATTAGCTGGTATGACTTGAAGGAAAGAGGTCTCAAAGTTTTATAAAACAGGACCTTATCAGTCTAAATCCAACCCTGATTATATCTATATATAAACGATCACGTAATTGTGATATATATTACAAAAGTCACTAAAAAAACGATGCCACCAAACAAATTTTTCCTGGCCGGAAGTCGGTGGCACGTGACTGAGTTCCCATGATTCCTCCCACTTCCTGCTTCTGCTTGTGAGTTGCCTGTGCCTGGCGAAGAAGACAGGAAGTCATGTAATTATGCAAAAGTGCCAGTTTAGCGACAATAATTCATTACAATTATGGAGTTTCTGGTTTAAATTATAGTGCGTAGATCAGAGGTATACGTTTCTCCATTTATCAGCGTTAGCTTAGTTTAGTGAACTAAACCGAGATGACAGCGGTTGTGTGTTTGTCTGCCACGACAGTTGGCCTGAATCCAACAGTAGGGGTGGCAGGGTACAAGGGAGCTTCAAATGATATTAAAATTACTGCCAGGTAACCTGTCAAAATTTTTGTTAAGGTTGTCAAAAGTGTTACGCTCTTTATACCACGGTGCAGATAAATATAAGTGATGTCATAATGGTAGTTTAAAGATGGCCGCCACACTAGTGACATACATCAAAGAGTAGTAGCGTTCTGTTATCCGCTATTTTGTTTAATTACTTCCCCCCCCCCCCCCCCCCCCCCCCCCCCCAAAAAAAATTTTTTTAGTGAAGGAGTGAAACCTTTAGAAATTCATCGGCGAATGAAGATCCAGCAGAGAGATGCATGCCTCTCAAGCAAGCAAATGTATTAGTTAAGTAGGAAGTTTTAAAAAAAATTTTCCCCACCATTCTGAAGTAGACACAACCTCCTAAAAATTGGTACCAAATAGCAGGGGCGTCAAAACAAAGAAATCATTGGGTCAGCTTTCTTATAATTTTCTTGCCACGAGAGCTCAGTGGGGTTTAAACCTTGTTTAAGGAGGCAATTATATTACTTATTTTTTTTTATAATTTGCTGAATGACAACTTTTTTTTTTTAAAAATAATGTGGAACAAATTCTTGAATGGAGAGCCTCTATACATAATTTTTGGGGCCTCTTCGCCCTTCGTAAACTTTCTGTGGGGCGAGCAAACAACAAGGACAAATACAATTTGTAAAAGAAAACCGATGTCTGTGTATGACCTTTAAACAGACTGACAAACACAGCATGCTCTTATCAAGTAGAGTAAGTAAAGGACCCTTTTCCACACCTTTAGGCATAATATTGGTGATGTGTTCTAAACCACGCCAGCCGCCTTTACTTCCCTGGACTGCACCAAGTACCCATTGAAGGCTGGGTCGACCTATGAGCCAAGGTCATTTTTTAAAACAATTCCGGCTCCGGCAGGGAGCGAACGCATGACCTTCCGATCCGCGGGGAGCGTCTAACCGCTCCGCCAGGCGACTCCCAGTATGCCCTTATTAGGAAACATTTTTTAATATGCAAGTTTACAAAAAAGACGTTAAATCAGTGCTTTTCCATACACAGTGCCAAAATGTCATTTAGGGAAAAAAGCTAAGAGGACATCCTAAATAGCTGCTTATAGAATGCTTCATCTAAAATGTGTAATGCACAACTATTTACACCCATTTTCCAGAACCAATCAAAAATACCACTAGCCACTATATATGCAATGAGAAACTGTTTGAACTTTACCAGTATCCAAGCAGAAACTAAAATTCGAGCCCCACTTCAGTGTGCGTATTTAATATACTCTTAAACAATTGAAAAAATTTTAACCTATTCTTTGCCGATGTTGCATGCTTAAAAATTAGTTGATAGGAAAGCCCTTACACATAAAAACTATGATCCATATGCAAATGAACTGTCAATTGAATGGTATTCTTGTGTTCAGTTTAAACTACTCTCCTCACTAAATGACAAACATTTTGAATTTTAAAATATGACAAATTTGTTTCTTTTAGCAGCAATGCATTTAAAAAAAAAAATTATTAGTATATTCAGCTGCTGCTGATCCTCTTTACCGTTATTCATTAAACGATTTATGAATTAAATGTGGTACGAAAGGAGCGAGATTAGAAGAGCGGAGATGTTAGTTGGGCCTGCGTGCTCCGTTCATAACCATTTAAAAATAAATTTGTTGGTTTGTAAGTAATTTACACGTTTGTTTAAAAAAAAAAAAAATAAATAAAAAGGAGCCGTGGTATCGTAGCGACTAGACTTTCCCTTGCCAGTCCGAAGGTCTACGGTCTAAATCCGCCTGAAGGTTGACTTTTTGTTAGTTTTGTTTTTAAAATTGACTTTCGCTGCAAGGTCAACGAAGCTTAAAATGGGTACCAGGTAAAGTCCTCGGAAATAAAGGCAGTCGGAGTGATATGGACAAACCACCAAGCGCCTACAGATTAAAAAAACAAAACATTGTCGCATCTGCCTCACGCGCCGCTGTTGTGGAGAAAAGTCGTATACTTTTAGTTTACAGAAAAACATGAAGTGTGTATTTAAAAAAAAAAAAGTCTTTATGCCCTTTAGTGAAAAACAAAAAAGCAGAGGACTATACCCTACGTCATTAGTATAATTTTGAATGACAGGTAACGTAAAGTTAGATTAAGCAAAAGAGTTCTCATGTTATCGAAGTATTGAGCAGATTAGAGTAAACGACCTTTTTTTTCTACACCTTCAGGTGTGTTGCATTTTTGGGCTAGACATATATTTTATAGATTATTCGACACTTAGTGGGTGCCGTGGTCAGCATGACGCCGCCCGCCTTTACTCCCCATGACTTTTACCTGGTACCTATTCAAAGCTAAGTCGACCTGGCAGCCAAAGTCATTTTTGAAAAAGTGCGGCCCTGTCAGGACATGAACCCACGACGGTTGGATCAGCAGGCTAGTATCTCGCTGCTATAATTGTGTATATGGTGCTAGACCGTTATCTTATTGTATAGATCAGTCTGCACTTGATAGGTCATGCTGTCAACTACAGCTACCATCATGTATCAGATAAACAGTACACACGACCAATAAGATATGGTGTCATCTCTGCCCTGTCTATAGCTACTGTAGTATGCGGTCTGCAAGAAGATAACCAATGAATAAAATATGAATACTAGACTAAAATGTTAAGTAGCTTACCTCTCTTGACGTTTGAACTGTCCGCTGAGGAATAGTAAAAGAAACAATGAGTGATGGTGTCAAAAAGATACAAGATGGGAAACACAGAAACAAATATACTATGTGTAGACAATATTAACACAGAAGCAAACGAGAGAAAGCAAAAGAAAGGTAGAGAGTAATGAAAAAAGAAAGCAACAAAAGCAGCAACAGCAGAAACATCAGTAGCAGCAACTGCAGCAGCAGAAAAAGACGAAGAAGAAGAAGAAGAAGAAAAAAAAAAGAAGAAGAAGAAGAAGAAGAAGAAGAAGAAGAAGAAGAAGAAGAAGAAGAAGAAGAAGAAGAAGAAGAAGAAGAAGAAGAAGAAGAAGAGGAGAATGGGGATGAGGAGAAGAAGAAGAAAAGGAGGTGGAGGAGAAAGAGATTCAGAAGGAAAAGAAAAGAACACGGAAGCGGAAAAGAAAACGAAAAGAAGGCGTTTGAAAAGCAGAAGCCAAATAAACTATTGTCGGCAGCCCTGAATTGGAGATGAGGATCTTTGAAAGGACACATCTGGTTAAATACAGAGGGTTTTTTATTGCCCTGCGTATCAATATAAAGGAGTTGAGAATGAGCTTCGTAATTCCGAGGTATACGGTTCGAATCCATCTGCAGGCGATTATACAGCAGACCGCTTTGTGTTTATTTTGACGGTACATAGAGAGCCGGCTGTCTAAATAGCAATGGCACACTACAGAACGTAAATTTGCTTAACAAAATTACTAACAATCAGAATATGCTGTGTTGGTTCCGCAAAGTCATGTATAAGGACAAACAACTATATATATATATATATATATATACATATATGACGGAAAGTCAATAAGAAAGTCACAAATAGTAATAGGGTGGCAGGAAAATGTAGTTAGTGGTTTCTAAAGGTGTTATTATGGTGTCAAGTGAAAAATACAGCTAGGGACCTAGTATGAACCAATGGCCTAAAAGGTTCCTTTACTCAGTGATCATCATCATTGTCCTGCTGTGCATTTTACGACAAAAATGCTGGCAGTTTATGCCTCCAGTTGAGTTATCCTATTCAGTCCATACAACCCTTTTCCTTACTTAGGTATACATAAATACTAACATAAGATATCAGAAAAAAAAACAAATCTCATTAGTTGGACATGCTCGTGCTATCAAGTCTCCTGTTTTACCTCCTGATCCCCCCCCCCCCCCCCCCCCGCACTTAAAAAAAAACCGAGTTCAATAGACGAAGTAACTCAGCAATCCAATTCTAACTGTCACATTGCCCATACAAGTCAAACCCTCGGGTACAATATTTGTCAACCCGTGCTTCGCTGACTCGCAATGGTCTGTGGAAATTTCCTAGCAGCCTCCCCAGTCATGCAGTGGCTACAATCTATGCTAACGGAAAAACTGAACGAATTTTTACTGAAAAAAATCAGATTTTGTAAGCAAATGTTGCATTAGCTTAAAATCGTTTATAACATTATGTTTCATAAATCTTCTTCTTCTTCTTCACTTCCTCTTTTACCGCTGTGGGTGTCTAGGGAGATAAAAGGTATGTTTCATAAATAAAATGTCCATATTTGTATTTGCTTCTGTCTTGACCATTAGCTGGTCCGCGAAATATGTCTTCGATTCGTCTGGTCAGCAGGAGTAAAAAGTTTGAAGAACGCTGATCTAGTGAATATGTAACATTATACCAGTAAAGACTGCACTGCCAAATTTTTTAACAACGGACAAGAAATATGGAGGAATACCAACAATAAAAACGACTGTAAAACTGAAGAGATGACACAGTCTGTGAGGGATAATTACCCCTGACACCTTAAACACAGTTCAGCCATAGACTATTGACAAGAGACATTTTTCTGGGGACTTTGAGACAGTGGGTTTAGTCCAAGGCCAGAGTTACTTAAATATGTAAATGTTAGGGTTGCACTTCGGAGACTGAGGGATTCAAAGATTAAAGAAAAGAAAGGGATTATTATATTTAGCTGTCCGGTAAGACCAGAGAGCTTTGCATAGCATATGACAGCATCAAAGAAAGAAAAAAAAAAAGGGGGGGGGGGTACAGTGTGGCATCGAGGCATGGTGTCTGCCTCGAGTGCTAGAGGTTCCGGGTTCAGTCCCCTGTAAAGGCCGGGATTTTCTTACGTGGAATTCTATCTAGTAATCCCCCCCCCCCCCCCCCCACCGCCCTCGGTCTCTGGGTAGTGAGATCCATTGAGATTTTACCGCACGTAAAAAATCCTTTGGCAGTTAGAAATCGAAAAGAGTAGCCTAACGGAGCTGCCTGGGCAAAATGTGGAGTTAAAAATCTACCCAAAGTATTTTAGGATCCTCGCTGGTGCTACAGAGCCTGTGCACTGTGCTGAGCTTCTTCGGACTCAGACTTGAGTTAGAAGAATAACGGAGCACTTATGGGTTACTACCCGTTGGCCGTAATATTGATCCGTTGTTCGAAACCTCAAAATTCATACCTCATAAAAAATATTTGATTGTACTAGACACCTATGGTAGCATAATACGATTTCCAAAATATAAGTAGGCGTAAATTTGTCTTTATATATATATAAACACACACACACACACGCGCACACGCACACATAGGCACACACACACACACACACACACACACACACACACATATACTTGATGGCAGACACAAAGACACGACAATATGAAGGTTCAACACAAAAGTCTATCTGCCCTCACCAACAAGTACGCTGACCTCTGCACTGGCAATCAGCTCAGACGTGCTTCTACAGATGTAGGTACCAGAATCGTTGCTTGTACCGCTGGTAATTGTCAGTTCACTAACTAAGGCCATGGTGTCCTTAGATCTGTGGTAGAACAAATGTTAATTGTTATTATCTTTGTATTGTCATCATCTTTGTATTGTTATCATCTTTGTATTGTTGTCATCATCTTCCAAGCCCCTATTATACTCGTAATTCTTTAACTCTTCCAGTTATTTTATCGAATTATATTCTCAGAAGTTGCTATTTTAACAATAGATGCTCTTATCTACAGCAGTTATACTGTGAACATTACGAGATAGAAAGGTGAAAAGTAGCAATAGGGACAGAGTTAGTAGGTGTAAAACCTGGAATGGGCATATTGAGTTAAGAGAAGTAATATATAGAAGTGGAAACTAACAAACGCTTGGTAAGTTGTTTTGTCTGACTGACTAAAACACTGAACTGTGCAAACAAATAAACAGACAGAAATGGAGAAAATGAGCAAGTGTTAAAATAGTAGCAAATCCTTTACAGGATCCAGAACCCCCCTTCCCTCCCCTAATTCCACCCTCCCCCAGGAACGGACAGGGTCATAGAAACAAGGACAGACAAACCACCCACTCACGAAGAAAGGAACTATACAGTGAAGTAAAAACATAGGAATGATATGGTATGAGCTACATGCGATAGCAAAATATGGTGTCAGTTCGTTGGAAAAAAAGGGGGGCGGGGGAGAGGGGGCTGTGCTCCATCGGGATGGGGGAGGGGAACAAAAGGGAGAAAAAGAGAAACAAAATTTACCTAACATTTGTTGGCTTTGTATAGTTTTACTAGACAATTTTACGTTCAGTAGTTTGCCATTGCTTTTTGAAGGCTATGAGTCCTCTAAGCTCGCGCAATTTTTAAAATCAACGCAAAGCGGCCTGCTGCCAAATTGCACATAGCGGAATTGAACCTGGTATGTTGGATTAGGCAACTTTCACACTCTCCAAGCAACAGGCAACGACTAGTAATTGTAGCCCTAATGATATCAGACTGCTACACAGGAAAAGACAGTGATTATTCAATTAGGGAGTAATTTATATTGACAGTCAAGGACAAATCTAGCAACTGGGGAGAAAAGAATCAATGTACATAGGAGGTTAAAACAATCGAACAGTGGATGACGGAAGTATGGTAGACAAGAATCTCAAACACGCTTGGTATATTAAACAGCAGTGACCCGATTTTAAAGTATAGAACATACAAAACAGTCAACTATTAGAACAAAAAAGAAAAACTTTACATTTATATTTCTTTTTTTTTTTTTTTTTTTTCTATTTCTTTCTATTTCTACAGTTAAAAATGAATGAAGCATCAAACAAATTTTATGCAATAAATCAATGTCAATAGAGGCTGAAAAAAAAGACATCTTGCGTGCTACACATAACCAGTTCGAACAATTAGTTCATGAAGCCTCACTTATGTGGTTTTGAAAAAGAAAAGCATTAAATTACCTAGACAATCAGAACGAAATTCAAGTTCTTTTGAAATAAGTTAGGACAAGAAAAAAAAATTGTCACTAACGCTACAAAAAGTCACAGATAATTGTTTGCCACCATATCTGAATAAAGAAACTAGAACATGCTATACACTTAAGGAAGCAAGAACACTGGGGATTCCAGCAAGTAACAACACTGCGACCCTCACGAAGCGAGAATACTGGGACCGCAGGAAGCAAGAACACTAGAACAACAGGAAGCAAGAACGCTGGAGACCACAGGAAGCAAAAACACTGGATACCACAGGAAGCAAGAACACTGGAGGACCACAGGAAGCAAGAATACTGGGACCACAGGAAGCAAGAAAACTGAGACTACAGGAAGCAAGAACAATGGGATAACACAAAGCAAGAATACTAGGACCACAGGAAGCAAGAATACTGGGGAACACAGAAAGTAAGAACACTAGGACCACAGGAAGCAAGAATACTGGGGACCACAGGAAGCAAGAATACTAGGGACCACAGGAAGTAAGAACACTGGGATAACAGGAAGCAAGAATACTGGGGACCACATGAAGCAAGAATACTAGGGGCCACAGGAAGTAAGAACACTGGGATAACAGGAAGCGAGAATACTGGGGACCACAGGAAACAAGAATACTGGGGATCACAAAAAGTAAGAACACTGGGATAACAGGAAGCAAGAACACTGGGATAACAGGAAGCAAGAATAATGGGGACCACAGAAAGCAAGAACATTGAGATAACAGGAAGCAAGAATACTGGGGACCACAAGAAGCAAGAACAATGGGATAACAGGAAGCAAGAACACTGGGACCACATGAAGCAAGAACACTGGGATAACAGGAAGCAAGAACACTGGGGATAACAGAAAGCAAGAACACTAAGGACCACAGAAAGCAAGAACATTAGGATAACAGGAAGCAAGAACACTGGGACCATAAAAAGCAAGAACAATGAGAATAAAGGAAACAAGAACACTGGAAACACAGGAAGCAAGAAAAATGGGAACACAGGAAGCCAGAACTCTGGGAAGATAGGAAGCAAGAACACTGGGAACACAGGAAGCAAGAACACTGGGAACATAGGAAGCAAGAACACTGCGAACACAGGAAGCAAGAACACTGTGAACATAGGAAGCAAGAACACTTGGAACATAGGAAGCAAGAACACTGGGAACATAGGAAGCAAGAACACCGGGAACACAGGAAGCAAGAACACTGGGAACACAAAAAGCAAGAACACTGGGAACAGGAAGCAAGAACACTGGGAACATAGGAAGCAAGAAAACTGGGAACACAAGAAGCAAGAACACTGGGAACATAGGAAGCAAGAACACTGCGAACACAGGAAACAAGAACACCGTGAACATAGGAAGCAAGAACACTAGGAACACAAGAAGCAAGAACGCTGGGAACATAGGAAGCAAGAACACTGGGAACATAGGAAGCAAGAACACTAGGTTCACTGGGAACACAAGAAGCAAGAACACTGGTAACATAGGAAGCAAGAACACCGTGAACATAGGAAACAAGAACACTGGGAACACAGGAAGCAAGAACACTTGGGACATAGGAAGCAAGAACACTGTGAACATAGGAAGCAAGAGCACTAAGAACACAGGAAGCAAGAACACTGGGAACATAGGAAACAAGAGCACTGGGAACACAGGAAGCAAGAACACTGGCAACATAGGAAGCAAGAGCACTAGGAACACAGGAAGCAAGAACACTGGGAACACAGGAAGCAAGAACACTGGGAACATAGGAAGCAAGAACACTATGAACACAAGAAGCAAGAACACTGGGACTGTAGGAGAACTGGTAATCGAGGCTTTGTGTGAATAATTCTTCCTCATCATCATAATTGTCTGAAACTGGCTGTAAACTCCGGTAAAAAGTTCTTGTTGTTTGTCTACATCAAGCTCTTCCAGAACTTGAGTTTTGCGTGCACATCTGTTTTGCAGATCCGGCTTATTTGTCTGCAGAATGTAGGTAACTCACGTCTCAGGTAGACACACTTCGACGTCAAAGGAAACACCCTTGATTAATTAGTCACCTTGTACTCCATGCTTGTTAGAGCGCAATATCCCCCCCCCCCCCCTCAACCTGCCAATGGGGCCCCGGAACCCACACAGGGAGGTGATTAGAGGATTGGCAGTATAGGTGGAGTTACTTTCGTCATTCAGAGATGATGATAACAAGAAGCAGGTTCTAATTGCATGAAACAGTAAACAATCTTCTGCTTCATCATACCTGTACTTGGTGATGAATATATGTGGGTATTCGTTGGCTTCTATCTTGTCCCCATCCTTAAACCAGTCAAGGTCTTCAGGAATCTTATCACCTTCTGTTGTGTTGCATTTAAGGTATACTTTCTGTCCTGACTCCACAAACTCCTTGCCTTCGATGCTGATCACTAGGAAATGAGATTTCACAATGTTCAGTCAGTATATAACTTGACGGAACTTGAATCAAAATTGTGGGCATTTTCGTCTTTGAATTAAAAATGTTAGAAGACATGTAGTAGTAGTAGTAGTAGTAGTAGTAGTAGAACTTTACCCCACTAGGACATCACACAAGCGATAAACACCCGATGACACAGAGTGCCACCATGTGGATGGGGATCACCCGTGGAGAGGTCCCAGAAACCGCGTTCAGCCATTAGACCTTATTTATGGTCGGGCTACATTGCGGCCCCTGGCAAGAGCCAGGGTAGGGCTTCAAAATAGAGAAAAACTGCAACCCACAAGGAGATGACAGGATAAAGAGAAGACATGTTTTATTCATTTGAATTATGTATATGTCTCACTAATTATAAAATTAAAAAAAAAAAATTTGAAACATCAAATAAAATATACAGGTAGAAAATTTCGACAGAAGGAGAGAGACGTCCTAGAAATTATTTCAGGATCATCCTAATCGAATACCATCCCCACAGTGTCGATTAGCTGTAGTTCGTCTTTTGCCCTGAGCATATTCCTGTAATCAACTCTCACCAAGCTAGGCCATCAGTTAGGGTTCCAATATCATCCCAAACGGGTCACTCTTTGGTTGCTTCGTTCCCTTCGCTCCTGTATGCGTAAAAAAAAAAAAAAATGCTCCTCGCTGTCCCATGTGAATAGTTCTACAGCAGTGCAGGCAAAATTCAATAGCTCGCACACGCATAAATGCAATAGACCGCCGCCAGAAGTGCCAAGAAGTACTTTAAACAAGTCTGTTACGCCAAGTGATCATATTATTTGCCTAGGCACTTAGCTCATACCATGTCCTCATCTTTGTAACGTCAATCTTGGGTTTCCTTCTCCATACGTTTTTTCTTTAATAAAAAAAAAATGCCTTGATTCCTTTCACATTGTGGGTTCCAGTGCAAAGACACCCTGGCTGTATTGTTATCAGGTTTTCTTAATGTGCGTGCTGTCTGCTGGGACCCACTGAATTCAGTTTCTGGTGACAACTTTTGCGGACTTGATAATCCAATTTTTCCATGTACAAACAGTATAGGAAAACAAAAATCATCTTTGTCACACATATGTTCCTGTTTCAAATGCACCTGTTAGTTTTCCCGTTTTCCCTAGAAGAACTCAAGTTAATGATTTTTCTACGTGCCTCATAAATTTACAGAGACATTTTTTTTTATACATGGACAAATTTAGGTGGGGTGGTGGTGGGGAGCGGGGGGGGGGGGGGGGGGAACTTACCCACTTACACATTTTCTGAGATAAGGTTCAGCATCCCCCCCCCCCTCCTAAGTTTGTTTTTATAACGTTTCGGTGCCACTGTCGTCATTAAACATGATCCCTAATTCCCCGCACCACATTCAGTTGTTACATAACCCGTTCTGCTCCAATTATTACTCTGTTTCTTCCGTCACACGAGTTATATGAACTAATTCTGACCCAATATGTATTTGTTAAATTTGTTCAATAATTTCTGCCTAGTACTGAGGGAAATAAATGCTAAAGAAAACTAATGAACTTTAACTGAGAAGCAAAGAAAGTCGCTCAAGTCATCAGTTAAAAGAAAGAAGGAATTGGCAACATGTTGCATACCTCGGGGGAGAAGCAGACAGAGAATTACTAGCCAGGGACTGAAGTGGAAAATAAATGGATTGAAGAAACGATGACATACAAGCGAAATCAAAAGATGAACGTAAACCACAACACAGTGTGCCAACCCCCTTTAAGAAGCGAATGCAGAAGAAGAAGAAGATGAAGAAGAAGAAGAAGAAGAAGAAGAAGAAGAAGAAGAAGAAGAAGAAGAAGAAGAAGAAGAAGAAGAAGAAGAAGAAGAAGAAGAAGAAGAAGAAGAAGAAGAAGAAGAAGAAGAAGAAGAAGAAGAAGAAGAAGAAGAAGAAAAAGAAGAAAAAGAAAGCAAGAAATTTACATATGCCAGTGTTCTACCAAGGTAGAAAGACAGAGAATCCAAGAGATCGTTTGTAACAGCGCTTTTCTGTGAAGATAGCAACCTAGCTGGAAGTGTTGAGACTTTTAGTCTGTTTGACCACGATCAGAAACACACCACGTAACCCTTCGTATCCCTTCACTTTGGTATTTCAAGCACATAGACCGCCTACATGGCAATACAAGTTTATATTTACATAAATCAGCTCGGATAGTTGACTTGCTGATTGAGTCTGAGGAGCAAATCAGCAAGTTAACCATTTAAAGGGAAACTAATGAGATTGGCGTAGGCATTCTAGACGCAGTTAAATTGATGTTGACTTTCTAGTCTTGTACAAACATTGTTTAAATTAAGACCAGAGTCCACCAAGTGATTGGTGGAGCAGGAAATGGAAGGTTGTCTCAGTTGAAACATTTCGGTATCCATTTCTATTTTCATGTTGGACCAAACAGTGTCGCCTCCACGGTGAAGTCTTCTTGCTGCCTTAGATTACCAACATTGATCGCCATAGGTCTCTAGTTATCGTTAGAGATCGCTGAAAACAACTACTGTTGTTGGATCTTTTGATGTAAGAGAGACTGGCAGTGATGAATCTGTGACAATGTCGACAAATCAATTGTATCACGCTCTAAAAATTTTTGGGTTACGTTTTTTTAAAAAGTCATTTTCTTGCTTCGTTCACTTGAAATAAATCATCAATAGCGGCATAACTGTCTCAGTATAAACTTCACTTTTTTTGTAATTCACTTAGCGGACTACGAAGTATGGCTTTTACCAGTGTCTCTGTTGGCCAGACGTTTTGCCTGGAAATGTTGTATTTGGGACACTCTTGGAGAATGTGATCTTTTGTCTCAGGTACCAGTACACATGCCCAGGGGGCGGACGAGTGAATCCTTTAGTTTGTGGGTATGGGTTTTTGAGCAAGCTAAGGTGATTTTCATTAAAGACTTAGAGTTTCGCACATTTATAACGCTCTTGGCCAGTACAAACCCGCCTTATGAACACAGACTGAACCATATGGCACAAAAAGCTAGCCCAGTGAAGTCGAATCTCTCAAGATTCACCTATCGCTACCTACATGAATGCACGAGTGCGGATCCGAAGGCATGGTGCTGGATTATTTTTAGGCACCACCTTGGCTCCCAAGTCGAACCAGATTCCCCTAGGTACTAAGTCCTGGGAAGTAAAGGTGGCCGGCGTGATGACGACATCACCCATCGATGGTCGACTGGTCTAGGAAAATCTCATTTACCCAGTGCGTCACTTTACTTTTTGAAGCTAACTATGCTCATAGAACAGATCAACATCATGACACAAGGATAATAACCCAAAAGTGCTCCGTTCTACTTCTAACTCAAGCCAGAGTCCGTAGAATCTAAGCACTGGCGAGGATACTGAAATGCTTAGTGTAGATTTTTAATTTCAAAATTTCCCCTGGCAGCGCCGTATGGCTACTTTTTTCGATTTTCAACGGTAAATAGATTTTTTACGTGCGTCCAGTCTTACCACCTAGAGACTAGGGTAAATTACTAAAAGCTCACGTGAAAAAAAATCCCAGCTTTCACCAGGGCCTGAACCCGGGACCTCCAGCACTCGATGCGGACGCCATGCCCTGAGACAACTCAACCCCCTAAAAAATTAAACTATGCTTAACTGTCTCTAAAGAGACCTTTAAATTAGTCTGTATGAAGGTGTCTTGTCGCGTAATCTGACCAAAATAGAGAATGCTTTTTGTCATTTCTGTCATTAGTTCTCTTTTCATTCGCGACTCTAAGACCCACCACATTTAAGACCCACCACATTTAAGACCCACCACATTTAAGACCCACCACTGTTTTATTGTCATGTTCAGACATTGAAATCTTACACAAGGACAAGATGACAATAGCCATATTATCTGGCCGTATTTTATACGTTAATAATTACTGACCGTGGTAAAGGATAGAACGGCTTTGAAAGTAGCATTGTGGGTCTATGACATGACTGGTAATACAGAGCTGATCTTAGCTTTCTCATTTAGGTTCAGCCTGAGATCAGACTGGCTACATTATCGCAATAAGGACGGTTTAATGAGTGTCTAGTTCATACCGACCTGTCTCTTCAGTCGACGTAGATATCTAAATGTATTTTCATAAACACTGTACTTTAATGACATATCTAGTAGGCGGAACATACGACACATTCCATGTTAATAGATTACATTTGGCTGGAACAAACGACGAACGAACTTTATTTTTAAAGGGTTACAAATTGGGCACGCAGGCCCGTCTTACATTCGGCCCTTCCAAACACCCGTCTTTCACACTGCAGCTGGATGAAATATATGATATCTGACAAGAGGAAATATGCGTTTCAATAGTCCATGTAACAAGAATAGCCTCAGACAGGGCAAAATAGAGATCAATTTTATACAGATAAATCGATAACTGACCCAGGGATCGACCATGCAGAAATGGACCTCAGAAATATCAGAGACACTGAAAAATGCGGCGTCCGTGGCTTAGGCATTGCGAGTCTGACTCGTAATCCAACGTACCACATGGTAAGGGGCGCCGCAGGTCCACCTAGCCTAAAATGGCTGCCAGGATGGCTGTCCTGGGAAAGTAAAGAAGGCCGGCGTAACGCTGACCACATTACCTATCCAGTGCCAATTGGTCTGTAAAAATATGGGACACTCTTCCCATATACCCGATGCACCTTAGGCGTGAAAGTGGATCTTTACTTTTACTTACTTTAACTGAAAAGTACTTTAAACGAAGCGAACAGAAGAGCTCGTTCCAGAGATCTATTCCTGCCCCGACGCCACGAAGCTTCCAGGAGTCGAGAAGAGAAGAAGAAGCAGAAGACTAGGCGAAAAAGGTACTTTTTGTCCTGATGGTACGGTACTCGATATATGATGTCAGTCTTGGCCAAACGGTGTTTGATGTTGTCACTATTTTCTGTTCGATAATAGCTCCACACCCTTTTTACGAGGTCGGTTCAAGCCATAATAAAAACAAAAGAATTTGCATTAAG